TAAAAATATCTACCATTATTGATAAAATTGAAAATTGGTAGGATGTATCTTAATTTAAATAAATGGAATACATTCGATATTAGGCCTAGCAATAAATATATATATATATATATATTTTTTTTTTAGATTTCCAAATTTCAAAAAAATTTTTTGGATTTATTCTATAAATCAACTCTGAAATTATTTTATTGTTTTCGTAATTTTTACTTTTTATTGAAGTTAACGGCATACTTGAAAAAAAAGATAATTATTTAACATTTTATTTTATTATTTATTTATTTTTTTTTTTTTTTTGTAATTCTAACTTCAATACTCATTTTCCAAACTAATTTAAAAAATCGAACCGGAACTGCTCAAAATCGTTCATAGATAGTTTACTGTTAACCAATCATAAAAATTTATATAAATGATCAAATCACATGCTATAAATTAACTTTACCGCTCAAAGGTAAACAGTCAAAGGTAATTTACTTTATTAGAGTCGAATTGAACCGAAGAGGGACTAAAATGGAACCGAGAGAACCGAATCTGAGTTGCACTTTTTTGAACCGTCACCATCCCTACATACACAACTTCATAAAAATTCATTAAAAAAATTATCCGGATTCCCATTATTATAAAAGTTTTATGTTATGAGAATCTAATTGTTTTTTATGTTCGCCCTTACTGACCGAACTTGGCGCTCCTATCTAAATAAATTTATCATTAATTTCAAATATTTCATGAAGTAATGACGTGATCCAACAAGATTTTAATCCCGATATAATTTTTTGCACAGTAAACTAGCGAATTTATGTTACGACAAATTACAACTCATGTATTAATTCTGGTTGTGGGACTTTGCGTCTTCGATTCACTTAATTACAGAGCGCAATTTAAGAAACTTGTATTTATAATTTCCTGGCAAAACTCATTTTAGAAAATGGTAAAGTCGAAACCTTAAATTTCGACGGATTCTTTAATAAGGACTTTAATATAATTTTTGACGTATGACGGATTTTATTATGGTTTCGAGTTTCGACGGTTTTACCAATAAGATTTATAATAGTTTTGCCAATGACCCTGTCCAAACCCGAGAGTTTGCCAGGCAAATTATTCTTGTAATTATAAAAATTAAATTAACAAGCTACATAATTTTGCTGAATACCAAAATTATAATAATGTGTAAAAATAATAATTAATTAATTTTAATCATTGATTGTTATAAAAATAAAACCGAGAATATTTTCAGGAATTATGTTATTTTCAAATCGAAATCGGTAGAAATGACGTAATCATTAATAATAATATTATTTATAAATTATCATTAAATTTGGCTGAGAAAATTTTTTATTTTTGTTTGTTTACATAATGAATTGACTTAAAATTTGTATTGAATCAGCTTTCTTTTTTAAGAAGATATGTAAAAAATAATATATGGTGTTCGGTTAATATGAAATGTTACTTACAAATTGTTTTAATTTTAATAACAACTATTAAATAAATAAATATATATATTTTGAAGATACGCGAAATGAATTTCTAGAAATCTAATTTTCTTGTAAATTAATTAATTAATTGCAAAATTACTTAATATGGTTTATATTAATAATTAAACTTGCTTTCTTAAAGTTCAAATTCAGAAGAAATTTATGAATATAATTCTTATGTTCTTTAATGTTAACTTATTATATGATTACTGAGTTTACTATAATATTTGTCTTCGGCTAATAATACTATTTGCACTTTCAGTTAAAGATTGATTTTGATAATTGGTCGATAATTATCAAACGTTCTAATAATTAAACGTTGTAAACAATTATATTATTTAACATTATAAATTTACGATTAATGAAAGATAGATAGTCTTTGGTACATGAACTATTGTTAAAATATTCTCACATTTTAAAATCATTAGCAAGTAATACCTTAAATAAAATATTTTAAATTAAATTTTGCAGTAGAAAACAAGAAAAACGTAAGTCAAATTATAAAGATAAGTTAAATTTTTTGTTTAATATTCAATGAATATTTAGTCGATAATTAGGTTCGAATATAAATTGAAAACCAAATTCGTTTAATTTTTTAAATTACTTGCTGATAATGTATGATTGTAACGTTTGCATTAAATCTTATTGTATATTAAAGCAACTATCTTGAAAATTTAATGTTAGATATGTTATATCGTGATCAGATGAATATCGTTACTTATAGAATTATAATACAAATTATAATTTAACTTTTACGTTTACATTTTACTTGATATCTTAATGTATATCAAACAATAACTTTAAATAATTTTATTTAAAGGTATAGCATTTGTTTATAATGCATATTAGGTTGAGTTTAATTTAACTTTATAAAAGTGTTCAGTGTTACACCAGAAATTGATATGCAAAAGTTATATAAAAGAATATAGGTTTGTTAATTTTAGCGAAAATTTCAATTTTGCTTTGACTACTTCATTTTAGAGTGAACAAAGATGGGCTCTGACCATGTCTTTGAATACAAATATCCATGATTTTTTTTAAAGCGTTCATTTTAGTAGGTAATAATGTCAAAATAAATTTGTTATAAATAATATTGGGTAAAATTTTAATTTTATTTACTTTTTAAAACAAATATAGCTTCAACCGATTATTGGCTGATTTATCAACTGAAGTCGCGTGATCATGTTGAACAATTTAAACGATTTTTCTAATAGTCTCGTAACATCAAACAAAAATAGGTCCTGATGAGATAAAAATTAAAATAAATACTTGATAAAATTTGAATAAATAAAATTACCAAAGGTAACAAAGTAAATATGGTTAAAAAACAAGAAAAAATAATCCATAAATTGAAACGTTATGATTTTCGATTATTCATATGAATGTTAATTTTAATTCAGAAAATAATTATGCAAATTTATTTTTCGGATTTTATGGTGATTTTATTGTTATTAAGCCAACAATATACACAGTGAAATTCGATAAACCGGATCTATCGGTTCCACTAAAAATATCCGGTTTATCGGGATATCCGGTATAGCGAAAAATTTTTTTGATATACTAAAAATCCATTATACTGAATTGTTAAGAATATTTCACATTAAAGATGACAAACTACACTATATTTTAACTTTCCATCTTAATTATTATGTGATAAAGATCATGAAAATGAATATAAAATATTTTTAATTGAATATAATTATGTCAATAACTTCAGCCGGAATTTTTATAGTTCTAATATTTACCGAATCACGTTACTTCAATTTTATTGGTTCTTGATCACGTGCTCCGATTTATCGAATCATTTTTACTATAGCTGGTTGGAAAATTGATCCGTTATAGCGAATATCGAGCTTTTACTAGTAAACTCCGGTATATCGAAACTATTCTAATATACGTGATTTGGTTCCAGCAAAAAAGTCCGGTTTAAGCCCAAATCCGGATCCGGTTTATCGAATTTCACTGTGTATGTAGAGAAGGGCACATTTATTTTATAATTTTACAGTCCAAGTCTTTTCCTTTGTGGTAGTCATCGTAAATTCCATGTTGATTATAAAAAAAAGACTTTTGAATTTGAAGACATGAAAAAATGATTTCTAAAAATCCAAGCATTACCAATAATCGAGGACTCAGGAACGTGATATTATCAACATATGTTTACGTAACACAACTCATTTCCTATTTTGTCATGAGATCTTGTGCGTCAGTATTTATTTATTTATCCCATGTTCATATGTTCCGATTTCTTTAATAATTTTTTTTTTTTTTTTTTTTATTGAAAATATGTCTAAACTTAACCAAGACGTACTTTGTTTAGTCCTCAAGGAACTATCATCTTGCAAAAGTCAAAGTTGGACGCGTGAACCTCTTTATTCATGTTTATTTTTAAATAAACTTTGGTGTGAAACTGCTGTACCTATCATTTGGAGTAATCCATGGAAATTCATTAAAGATTATCGGAGGCTATTTGATCCTATTATTTCATTTCTATCAAGAGAAACACGGTTTCTTCTCAATAATCAAGGAATCGATTTATTTCCAACGCAGCATGAACACCATTTATTCGATTACTTAAGTTACTGCAGATATATGAACTTTGATTGCATTGAAAAATCCATCAGAGTTGGACTTGATTCTTCCAGATACAAGAAAATAGAAGAAAGTCGACTTCGTTGTATAGAACTAGAAATTTATATAATGATTGTTAGTAAATGTTCCGCTGTTAAATCTTTAGATGTGATGAATTTAGGACCACAAGTAAAACATCATATCATCGGAGCAACAACTTTTCTTGGAGGACTTGGGTCTCTATATTGTAATTTAATTAATGATCCGACATTTTTTGATGTATTGGTAAATACCTGCAGGACATTAGAAATGATACACATCGTGTGTCCTTCGTATTGTAAGCTTCGTAATTTGGGTTTAGCTAGATTAATCGAGGTTCAAAATGGCTTAAAATGGTTCGTGTTTGTCCAACATCAAGCTGAAGCTTTTCGACAAGAAATTGGAGATGCTTTGATTAAACAAGCCAATTCCCTAATTAATTTTGAATTAACATATCTCAGGAAAATTTCCTTACCTTCAAATATCCTTTCCTCCTTTAATAATTTACAAATTTTAAAAATATTTGGTAGTAGTAACGTTAAAATGAATCATCAGCTTGAAAGTCATTTAAAATTATCATCATTTTCTAAACTTAGAATTCTTATGTTGGATACAATTTCTTATAACGTTGCGATAAATTTAATTAAAAAGACCAAGGAAATCTCTCGAAGATCTTACTTTATAATACTTTTAATGATGAACTTGCTGGAGAGTACCTTCGTGCGGTTTACGAGCATTTCCCGAATATCAAATCATTATCCTTGGGGGTCATTTCTGAATTTGCTACGGAATTTGAAAATTTATTGATGAAATGTCATTGGCTTCGAAAGATTTTCATTCAAGGGTTAACTATTGCAAACATATTCGTAAGTACCGATTTATCATTATTATTTGATATATTGGTTGAAATCGCTCCAGATTCCTTACATGAAATTAGAATTGTGTATCGGAATAACGTTTCGAAGGATGATTTGGAAGCCTTTTTCGAAAATTGAAGAGGTCGGGAACCGATCATTTTAAATTTCTATGTAGAACCTTGTCACAAATTGAATTTTGAGAAATTAATTAGTGTATTTGAAAAATATGAGGAGGAGGGTGTGCTAAAACGTTATGATGCTTTAGAGGATTATGGTTATTTTATAGAATTGCTTCAGAATTAGATTGTGGGTGCTTATAGAATTGTGACACAGATTTAGCGATAAATTTTTTTATTAAAAAAAAAATTATTTCGTTGGAGTCAATAAAATAAACGTTAGATTATTTCTTTCTCTTTTACAAAATTTGTGATTCTGTCATAAAAATAAAAACCGAATTTTACTATTCAATCATTACTAAAAATTTTTATCATATAGGTCGTTTGCTATTAAAATCCGAGTTACAAACATAGTAAATCATATGATCCGTAACGTGATTTTAAAGCAAACCTCCCATATAATTGATTTTATTAAAAAATTATGAACAAAATCGACTTGTAGAAATCTGGAATGAACTTATTATTCCAAAAAAAATTCAGTTCTTCAAAGGATGTGATTTTCATTTTTTAGGAGAGAGTAAGAGATTGTGAGAAACACTATTTTTTAAAATGCCAGTTATGGGATATAACAATCAGATCTTAATGTAATTTTACTGGCAATACACTGATATAAATATTTCGTCATTTTATTTTTCTTTACCTTCTAGCATTGTATTCCCACAAAAAAAAAAAAAAAAAAAATTTCAATAATGTAAGGATCCTCAAACTATTACTGAAATAAAACCTCCAAGATCCAATTCACAGAAAAAATTTAAAAGAAATTTTTGTTTTGACAACACTAAATAATATTTTTTTAAATTAATATTAATACGAATTCTAGCGACGATGCAATCGTTATTCGATTTTCAGGAAAAATCTATCATTTTCCAATAGACCTCGCCAAAGAAGGTTTTATGCAAAGAACCAACTATCATTTAAAAATCTTTTCTACGTTCATAGGCGAGGCCTATATTCGTGAATTTATGATATCAATAGAAAAGAGGGAAATCTAATTTTGATAAATTTTTTATTAATTGGTCCACTTGACTGATCACGGTCATGTACTCAAAATTAGTTTAAGAACTAAAATTAGCAAAAATTTCAGATTTCCCCCTTTTTACTTATGGTAATTCTCTTTTGGACGGATAACATTATACAGTATATTTCTCATTTGGAATATTATCTTCACTTACTGAAAACGCAAATAACCCAAACTTAGTAAAATTTATAGACTCGATTTATTAAGCGCGGTTGAAAGAACTTGGCTTTGTTAATAATAGATTACTTTTAAATTGGTTTTTTATTTTTCTGCAACATATTATTTTTTTATTTTTTTTAAAACAGTTATACGAGTTAACATAAAAAGAAGAAATTTAAATTTATTTCATAAATTTTAAAATGATGATGAAATTCTTTCAGCTACTTCATATCTCATCGTTATTCACATAACCATCTTCTTTCACGTCTACACAACTCCAATACCCTCAAACTTTATATTTATACTATGGTTAATTGCGATTGCATGAAGGATTTCGTTTTCAACGTTATTTTCTGATCCTTTAGGATAACGTTCATCCACAGCCGCGGTTGAAATCCGGCACTTTAAATTTGTGCAGATTTTTGTAATCATAAAAAAAATTTGACCGTATACTTAATTACAAAAAAAAAAAAAATATAATTTTATTAACTGGCAATTTTTATCGAAAAAGTCTTTTAGAACCAAATTTTTAAAAAAATTTAATAATGAACGCGTTTATTATAAAATTTTCGTCTTTCGGTGATGAAATATCATTAACAGGTAGATCGATTGATAAAAAAAAAAAAAAGTATGAACGATCGAAATGTTGAGATAGATATAAAAAAATTATTTAGACATGGCTGGACAAACTCGAATTTTTTGGTTCACGTGCTCACAGAGAAAATGCATATTAGATTTGCTTTTTTGTTTTTTTAAAAAAAAAATAGTATGCGTCGGTTAAATATAATTTGATCATGTAATGGGAATTTTTTTTTATTTTAATAAAAAAAATAATTTATCAAATAAAGAAAATTTTATTTTTTTTTTTTTTGTAGTTTCTTCCTTTTCTACTGCAAAACGACCATTTGCGAATATCCATCCAACGAAGAATATCTGATTTTATTAAAGAATAAACATTAATATGATATACAGAACTTTTTTTTTTGCAATTATGATTGATTACATTGTGTAGAGGAGACACAAGTTGATGGAATTTTATCATAATTTTTTTTTTTTTTGTAAATCGTTTACAAAACTCGCAGTAGTTTATTCTTGGAAAGAAAAAATAATTTGTAAAGTTTGCCGATATAATTAATTATTGTATTCATTGTACAATACATATCCTTTAATTCGCAATGAATTTAATGAATTTTATATAAATTTTTTCGTAAATTTATTGTGCGTACTTATTAAATATTTTCAATATGACCATTATACCACGTGTAACCTAACTATATCAATTAATATAGCATACATAAAATTATTGTAATATAATACTTATAAATCATACATACCCAAATTTATGGAATATGAATAATTTAAAATTCTTTTAGTCGACATTAATTCATAAATCAAAAATTCTATCTTGAAAACAACTTATGGAAACATCTTCCTTTATATCTTCAAAAGGTTTAAATAGTACGAGTTCACATTCTTATGGAAATAATGAAACAAAATTATGAAGCTGACTCCCGTCATATGATTACCACATGTTACATAAACCATTTCAACAATCGATATCAATTTTTACCACAAACCTAATTTTTTATCAACAAAATTATTGTGATAATGATTAAATTATTAAATATGTTTATAAGGGTTATTTGGAAAAAAAATGTCAGAAACAATAACGTTTTAAATCATATTAACTCGGAAAATAATGATCATGATCATTTTCATATTCGAGAATGTAGAACCGACCTAGTGCTCCGAGCCGGTCGAGTCGACCCGGGTTGATCGACCCGACTTGAATTTTTTCTCGAGTCGGGTTTATCATTTTTATGACACGAGTCCTAATTCGATAAAACCCGTCGGGTTCAGGTCACGTTTTTCCTTGACCCGGGTGACCCGGATGATCAGTGATCTAATTTTTCGTAATATAAATTACGCGCTAGAC